ACTGTCTGTCAGTCTGCAGGGAATCTGCTTGGGATATGAAATCGAAGGGTGTGCATTTCAATTCAATGCGCGTCTGGATACGTATCTCTACGTGGAACAGAGAACTAGATATGAGCGGGAGATATTGATGCTTCAAATGAAGTGGAAACAATTCGGTGAAGTGCTGCCTCTCTTTCGTGCAGCATTCGCACTTTGTTCGTCAACGTCACCTTTCTTTGTTAATAATTTTATTTTCCAATGACGCGTGGTTTTTTACTGAACGCTCGAATTCAGTACAGAAGTTTCGCACACAATTTATTGTTTAAAACTTTTGTTCTTTCTCATTCGTTAGTTTATTCTTTTTAAAGTCTTTCTATTTTTGCATACAACGAATCACAGATATTTATTTACGAATATTATGCAATTTCATTTTCTGATAGAATTGGAATTCTTCGTCGATCTGTTCCCGCAAGACTCATTGAAAATTATATCGTACAACATGAAATGTCTAAAATTCTTCTGTTTTCTCTTTTGAATAAATTGAGCTTCATATTTAACGCGACTATGGAACAAATTAAACATTTCCTGATGGAACCACTTTATTCTCTAATACCGCTTGGACTTGTCTTCAAAATTAATGATACGTTTGATATTTAAAGTTCAAATTAATATTTCAGATAATTAAACTCTCAAAAGGTCCAACGTTCTGTTGCACTTCGTACAGGATCACTCATCAGAATAAAAACTCTAATTACATCACTGCGAATTCGCGCGAAAAAAAAAAGAAGAAGAAGAAGAAAAAAATTGCAAATTTATCACCTCAACCACTCTGATAATTACAACTGTTAACAAACGGTCGCGTAAAAACCGAGGGAACTAACAAACATACACACGCATACTACCACGGATCTTCGTGCAGGATCCTTCATTTTAGTTTTAATCACAGAGATTCTCCGTGTAATATAATTGCTCTCGTTCCGTCGAGGGTGAAAAAGGAACAAAAAAAAAAAAAAAGAAGAAAAAAAACAGTGAAACCGAGCGATTCCGTTGTTACGAGAGAGCGGCGGGGAGAAAGATATTCTCTCTGGGGAATACTTCATAGAAGGTTGAAAATAGGGTTCATTCCTATAATCCTCACACCTTCCCCCTCACTGTCTCCGGTATGACGGTGTTCCACCATATCCGTCGCGCCTCCACTGAAATTGAAAACGAAACGGCGTGTCGTCGCGTGCTTCGGTGAAAACGGAATGGGGGAAAAAGAACAAGCGAAAGAATCTCGAATATCATTGGAAAGTTCGCTCTCTTGCCGGCCTAGCTAGCCGGTCACTCGGAAAATCTTCGACTCGGAGTATCGAGAACCGTCGCTCTCCTCGCCAACGATCGAAGGAAAATAGTTTTCGCTAGCGCGAGTTCCTTCGTGCATTATTCCTCGAAAGGGGTACGGCTGTCTCTAACGTCGTATCGAGGCCGTCGAACTCTGCTCTCCCATGGGAGCTGGCTCTCAGAATTTTTCGTCGCAATCGCTGAAAACTTTCCGCCAGACAGTTACGGCTCTCTGCGATCGGTGCCCTGGCGAACAAGTAAAATGGCGCAATAGACAACTCTTTACTCGTCGCGTGAATGTTCCTTTCCCGCTTTTTCTTTTTTTTTTTTGGTATCGTATTAAATTGTGTATTTCTCACGTCACGTTGCTATAGTGAAATATTTTTTGAGGGAAACAAATATTGTTTAGGAAATGTTTAGGAGATTGGTGCGTAGGAAATGTCATTCCAGAAGAAATTTGGCCATTCATACGCTAAATGTTAAACGTTTAACACTAAACAAATGACCTCTTTTCAAAACTTACTTTAAAATCGTACATTCGTTGTTATTTCTTTCGCTAA